ACATAATGATTTCTTACATCTCATTGTTGCAATGGGTCCACCTGTATCCCTATTTAAATGATTTGTTTTTTCCCTTCCCCTCCACAAATTATACCAACATCAAATACGATGAAAGCAGGGGCTATACCGTGGGGGAAATTTATAGGATTTTATCTGTGTATTAGCATCTAAATTTCTAAAATAATTTCCTTAAACTTTAGTATTTAAAAGTCAGCATTTTCCTGGGTGCCAATGGCTCATGCCTATAATCTTAGCTACTCAGGAGACTGAGACCTGAGGATTGTAGTTTGAAGCTAGCCCAAGGCAGGGAAGCCTCCGAGACTCTTATCTCCAGTAAACTTTCAAAAAGCAGAAAGTGGACTCTTATCTCCAGTACACTTTCAAAAAGCAGAAAGTGGAGCTGTGACTCAGGAGGGTATATCATTAACCTTGAGCAAAAAAGCTTAGTTACAGTGCCCAGGCCCTGAATTCAAGCCCCACGACCTGCCCGCTCCCTCCAGTCAACATTTACTTCTGAGTATTCTTTTGGGTAGAAATCACCTATTTGGGGAAAATTGACATTCCTTATGTTGAACTTAACACAAACTACATTGAAAAAATGTATTTGCTAACAATAATTATTAGTTTTAAAAGGATGCACTATTTTAAATATTTTATTCAGGCAAAAATCACTGACGATACCAATCATTCTTTGTTACAGCATATTATGGAAAAAACAACAGGCTCACTTAATCTTCTTAAAACTACAGTAATTAAAAGATCATTATGCACTAACCAGTGACTCGTGCCTGTAATTCTAGCTATTCAAGAGTATAAGATGAGGATGGAGGTTTGGAGTCAGCCGGGGCAGACACATTGCTGAGACTTTTATCTCCAGTTAGCTACCAAAAATCCAGAAGTGGAGGTATATCTTTTGTAGTAGAATGCCAACCTTGAGCAAAAAAGACTAACAAAAACAAAATGTGGGAACTGGAAACCATTAGCTCATGGTATAATCATAGCTACTAAGGAGGCTGAGATCTGAGGTTGTGGTTCAAAGCTGCCTGGGCAGAAAAGTCCATGAGACCCTTTACCTCCAATTAACCACCCAAAAGCCAGAAATGGAGCTATAGCTCAAGTGTTAGAGCACTAGCCTTGAACAAAAATTTCAGAGACAGCACGTGGCCCTACGTTCAATCCCCAGGACAGACATACACACATAATACATACACCCCAGAGGGGTTATGGAAAAACTGAAGAAATAATTTCCTATATCCCACCAGGACATTTCTTATCATACTGTTTTCCAAAACTAGGTTTTTTTAAAGTACTGGGCCAGCTGACAGAGACTGGAGTTGTCAACCCTGAGCAATTTATGAGTAAGTATTGTATAGCTTTTTTTTTTTTTAATAAGAATTTGAACTCCTTCCAAACCTGTTATTTGTTTGTTCATTTGGCTAGAATTTATCAACAGATTAGCTATTTCTCATCTAAATGTGTAACATGGGTAAATTGCTTTTCAACAGTGGAATTTATTTTGTTTTGCAAAAATAAACTATTTTTAGCTATGCACTGGTGGCTCACACCTGTAATCCTACTCAGGAGGCTGGTATCTGGTGGTTCAAAGCCAATCCCTACAGGAAAGTCCCTGAGACTCTTACCTCCAGTTAACCACCAGAAAACTGGAAGAGGCACTGTGACACAAAATAACTACCACCACCACCACCAAAAAAAAAAAAAAAAGGAAAATAGAAAAATTTGGTCAAGGGGCTGGTAGTGGTAGAGTGCTTGCCATGCAAACCAGAGGCCCTGGGTTCCATTCCTCAGCACCACATAAGCAAAAAGAAAAAAGCCGGAAGTGGCGCTATGGCTCAAGTGGTAGAGCGCTAGCCTGGAGCTGAAGAGCTGAGGGACAACGCCCAGGCCCAGAGTTCAGGCCCCACGACTGGACCCA